ATTCCTGCTTCTTAATGGACATTGCTTCTACTCTTGCATCACCTCCTTCCTCACCCTGCAAATTATAGCCATATAGAAGGTGGTCTCTTCCTCCGCATTGGAGAAGCCTTTTTTCTAGCACCTCCTGGCCCCTTTAGCCTTTGCCAGTTGTGTGACATCCTACTCAGATCTTTGGATATCGTTTACCCTTTGGACTTAGATTATAGGAAATTCCCTCCTCACATGTAAGGAACCCATTACCAACACCGCCACCTAACCGTCCCTGTGAAGATTTCTTCTCCGAGGAAGTAGGTGAGATAGACAGAGGATGACCATGCTCTCAGGTTCTGGAGAGAGGCTCATGTCCTCTTCCCAGGGACAACAGCTCATCTGAAATAGGGTAGGAGAATAAGGATCCTTGGCAAAGCTCCTCCTTAAAGCCCCTTTACTTAGAAATCCTGTATCTTGGCTTTAATGTTTCTTTTTGCCCCTCAGTGTCCCAGAAAAGCTTAAGGGGGACATTTTCCCAGACCCACAGTCTCTGCACTGAAGAGCATCCAATTCTCCAGTTTGGCTCAGCAGCAGGTAGAGGCTGAGTCTCACCTGTGCCCCCAGCCTGGTACCAGTCAGACAGTTGAAACATCTCACCTTCAGGCAAAGCAGGATGGATGCATGTAACATCTAGAAGTTGCTTGGCAATGCATTTGATCAGGAATAAAAGGAAAGTGTAGGGAGTCTGTCTCAGTACCCAGTGGTTTTTATTGCAGTCAAAATACGATCTTGCTCTGATTGGGCGCATGTTCAAATTTGGTAGGAAATAGTATAATTCTTTTGTAGGTATACTGTATTTTTTTAAACTGTGAGTTGCAACCCATTAATGTATCATGAAATAAATCTAGGGAGTCAAAATCAGCAGTCTTTTTGGAAATGAGAAGTGCATCCCACATAGTAACTGTTACATGTAAATTTTGCTTCATTTATACACATTTATGTGTGTACTGGGTCCTGACATAACACGCTGGTCTGTCGTCACAGTGATAGCTCTTACTGATGTGGGTTGTTGAGTTCCATTTCTTTGTTACTTCTCTCATGGCAGCGCTACAGTGGGGTGTACTAAGTAAATGTCAAATAAAATACCTCATTCCAATTAGGTTACTTTCAGTTGCAAGTAACTGGAAATCTGACTTAAGGCAAAGCAGATTTTTAATCACCTCAGAATGCAGGTCTTAAAGGAGGTGGTTTGGGGCTGGTTCAGAGCAATGGGACTTCCATTCTGGGGTTCCTGGCTGACTTTGTGGTTACAAGGTGGCTGCCATGGCTCCAGACATCACATCCTCACATGACAGCATGCAACAGGAAGGGAGGGCAGGAGCTTTCCTCCTGGATGTTTCTTTTTTTTTTACCAATGAGGCAGGTCTTTCCTGCAAGATTCGAGTGGACTTCACAGTTGGTCCAAGCGCCCATACTGGCCCATACGGCCACCTCACACCAACTCTGGCATAGGAGGAAGGCTTGGATTGATTCCAGTTCGTCTCCTGTGCCAAGCTGTTGCTGCTCCTGGAAATTTGATGTTGTTAGAATGGGGGGTGGGGGTGCTGGGTCTGGGTTTTCCAAGGGTCTGGAATGTGCTACAGCCTGTGTTTCACGTGCCCCTCTGGGCAGGTTTTCTCTTTGAGTTTTGTCCAGCCAGCCTTTGCAGATAGTCAGGACTTAGAGGCCAGGGACCACCCTCCCATCCTTGGCTCTTTCCCACGTGGCTTCCTCACCTAGTAGTTACATGTCTACTGTGGCTGCTCAGGAAGCCCTGGGGCTCTACTCAGGGTCTGCTCTAAAGAGCATAGACCAGGAAGAGACTAGTTCTGGTCTTCAGTCTCCTCTCACCCTTAATGCTGAGTTCACTTGGGGTGGGGTCAGTGTATGAAGAACCTGAAATGGGTTAAAGGGAACGTCTGTAGTATTATGGAAAGTGGTGACCTAGTCTTCTCCCAGTTTCTCATTTATAAAAAACTATTCAAGTCCTGCCGTTTATCATTCCTTTTATCAGGTAGTGGTTGTGTGCTGGTAAAGGAGGAGCTACATGTACACCCCAACTTGTTAGTTCTGGGGTGCCAGTTCCTGGCTCTGCACTGACTTGGCACGGGTAGATCTCCATCCTCCTGTCTCCCTCTCAGTCCTCAGCTCCAGGCTTCAGGCAGTGTCAGCACCCACTCTGCACCCAGGACATCTGTCTCCCCTCCTATTCTGTTAGGACAGCAGTTCCTTCCCCCCTCCCCCAGCCCATTTCCTATTTTGTCAAAATACAGAAAGTCTGGTGGCTGTGATAAAGCTGTCAGTTGGTCTCTGCTTCCCCATTCCACCTACCAGTGTTGACATTGTTTTTTAGGCTGGGATTTCCCTCCACCTCTGAAAACATACAAACACAACAGACTACTGTGTTTTACTGGGTCTTCTGAGTGTTGCTTAATTTAGAACCATGGTGGCTGCCCAATCTCCGCCTCCAATGAAATCAGCTTTCTGTTAGTTACATGTCAGCAACTGGCTGGCCCCTTCCAGTCTAGGATCCTGGTGTGAGTTTTCAGGACCTCAGTGACAGCTATCACAATTGGCTGATACTGGCTTCCGGAGAAACCAATGTGATGGTCTTTTTTGAGCAAGGAATTGCAGGTGTCTCTTCGTCTTTTGTCGTGGCACTCATCCACTGGCATCTCCGTCTCTGGAATGCCCCCTTTTAGTCGAGGTTGCCATTATGGGTTGTCTCGCTTCTGGGAAGCTGGAATAGTAGAATGAACATGGTTTTTGGATTTATAGCCTAGCTTTACAAGTTCACTTCTCTCTGCCTCAGTTCTGTGAAATGGGGACAGGGCTGTGGGAAGGATTGAATAAGTTCATATGTGGAGAGTGCCTAGTCCAGTCTCTGACTCGTAGTAGAAACACTGCCCACAGTTCAGAGTCATTAGCAGTTCACTGGTGAAAGGTGTTTTGTGTCTTCCAATGCCACTTCTCTGATTCTCCGACACCAGCTGGTATCCTACAGTTCAGTTAAGTTCTGACACTACCCACATTTCTGTAAAAGATGACGAATGAATTGAGGAAGGAATATGGCTTCTTGCACATGGAGTGACTTTGAGCTGTTCTGTGTGCCTAAAGGGCCCACAGTTACTCTGGGAGGAAACCCACAGGGTGCTGGGAATTCCTGCTAGGAGTGTGTCCACTTCCCCATTCTCCAGAACAAGGTAGACAGACTACTGCCTGCCTCTGTATCAACTTACTGCTTGGAGCTGGGG